TCTTCAGATCAGCTTATGGGGAAAGTTCAATGCCATTAATGCTATAAATGCTTTACAGTTGTAGAGCAAGTCTTTGCATGTCATGAGAATAGACGAGTCTGTCATGAGAACGACCATATTGGGTCAGACCAAAGGTCCTTTCTTCCAGCACCAGTGCCAAATGCACCAGAGGGAGTGAACAGAACAGGGTAATCAAGTGATCATTCTCCTGTGATCTGTTTCCTGCCCCTGACAAACAGAGGCTAGGGACACCATTCCTACCCATTCTGGCTAATAAGTATTGATGGACGTAATCTCCATGAATTTATTTAATTTTTTATGAACCCTGTTAAAGTCCTGGTCTTCAAAACATCCTCTGGAAAGAAGTTCCACAGGCTGACACTGTGCTGTGTGAAGAAAAAGATAACTTTTCATGTTAATGGGATAGACAAGCTCAACTCTGTGACGTAAATTGTCAAGAAAGTTATAATCAGTCATTTGTACGTGTTGCAAAACTAAGTATAACTGATGTCATTGTTAAATATTCAGTGGGCCTCAGAGCACTGTTTTGCCACTAGAGGGAGCTCCATAAACTAGTTTGCTGAGTATGCATTTGTTGTTGCTTGTTTGTTACAACTATCCAGGGATAAACAGGTGACATTGTTCTCTAAATCTGAATCCAGTACCTTTCCACACTTAACTGTCTTAAAATCCGTCTTTAAATCTGCACCGCATGTTCCAAGGACAAGGCTAGGAGCTTAAATTTGTAACTTTGCTAGATGCTAAGTCATGATCTTGATAGATAAATGTAATGACTGTATGGCTAATTACAACAGTCTTTAACCCTTAAACATGTCTCTGTCCAATGAGCAAAGGGATGTTAATGGGCACCCTCCCCTTAAATATTTCCTTTAGTTTAGCATTAGTAGTTTGAATATATTCTCTGTTCAACCTTGTATTATCTGTGCACCTTTTCCAGATCTGAGGATGGGCTCTCTGCAGCTTGGAAGCTTCTAGCTTGCCAACAGAAGTTCGTCCAACAAAAGATATTAGCTTGTCCACTTTGTCTTTCTAAAAAGGCAGAGAGATACTGATCATTAAGTACCAAGCTATTGAGTTGGACAAAGTCTGAGAATTAACTTTGTTTGCCCCACAGAAAGGGAGGAACTACTTCATAGTTAAGTTCCCTTTAAGCTGCATGGCCACGCAGCAGCTAGGATATGAATGTTTAATCTGTTCACCTCACTCTTAATGGGTGAGGCTTGTGGGTTAAGGTTGACTAGTGGGAGCTGGAGCAGCTCCCTGTCTGCTATGGGTAAGGGGCTGCTTCCACCCCACGGGTGACTCACTGTGGACAGGGGCTACTCCAGCTGGGCTGGTACATAGGGAAGTAAAACATCAAGTGGTTGGTTAAGGGTATTTTCAATTGAGTGTTTCTGTGAAAGTGCAGGAGAGCCCTGTAGAAACTGGAAAAGTTCTCTTGGCTTCATATTATAATTTGGGTTTCCCCAACTTACACTTTGGAGTAGGCTAACTCTAAGTTTTTACAAGTGCAGGCCTTAAGTAACCGGAGCACATGAACACATAGCTTTGGCTTTTGAAGACAGACCCCTGCTTCAGAGAACTTGCAAATGATGCGAGGTGTTCTGTAAGAAGATGGACTTTAAGTCAATTGGAATATTCTGAAGAGCCAGAACTATAGCAGATAGCAAAGAATTGGCCTTAACAGTTTTCAGTACCTCTCCCCAAACAAATTTTGAAACTTTGACATGACAGGTTAGAACAAGGGCAGGCAAATACCAGCTATGGGTTGGAACCAGTCCGCTAGGGTTTACTCCTGGCAGGCTCCCACCGCTGTATTTACCTGCACGGCCTCAGGGACCAGTGATGGCAGCTCCTATTGGCTGCCGATCACCATTCCCGTTCCTCTTGGCTGCTGCTTGCACTGTTCAGCCTAGCTGGGTCTGCTTGGGAGAAAGTGGGACTCTGAGGCTACATCTAGACTGCACTGCTAAATCAGAAAAAGATACGCAAAGAGGCTCTTTCTTTCGCAATTTGGCACCTGTAGACATGTCAAATTTCGAAAGTGCTCTTTCGAGCCATCCCTTATTTCTCGTAGAATGAGGTTTGCAGGGATGGCGAAACAGTGCATCCGTTCTTTTGAGAGAAATTTCAAAAAAGCAGACGTGTTCCTTCTATGTGGCATTGTTATTTTGGGATCCCTCCGGGGGAATCCCAAAAAAGCCAATGCAGTCTAGACATAGCCTGAGTCACCTTTCTCCCAGCACCCATTGCACCATCTTATCTCCACCCACCCGCTATTACTGCTACCAACCCCATCAGCTCTGTCTTCACTGTCTGTCTGCAGGATCAGGATTCAGGAGGAGACACCTGATTAGTAGAGCCCTACTGCTGGGCTCCAGTAATTAGGCAGTGCACACCTTTGTTCTCTGGTGCGTGGCTGCGCAGGCATGCATTTTAGAGGGAGCTATGGTCTGAAGGCTATGCTTTCTAAAAATTGTTGATTTGATTGCTATATAACCTGTATGATGTAACTTGACTTCTCCCAGAGAAAGGACAGTGGGTGGTGGACTACTGATGGTTATCTAATGGTTTAAGGTAAAGCAAAATGTCTTTTTATTGGAATTCAAATTGAATATGCAACTCTTCAATGTATTTGTTTTCTGACTGAAAGGGAATCCCTCTCTAGGAGACTTCTGAAGGCTCCCCTTCTAATGCTGCTGTTCCTCTTTTTTTTTTTTTTTTTTTTTAGGACAGGAAGATTATGACAGATTACGGCCCCTCAGCTACCCACAGACAGATGTGTTTCTGGTTTGTTTTTCAGTGGTTTCTCCCTCTTCATTTGAAAATGTGAAAGAAAAGGTTGGTCAGATGTTACTACCTGCAACTGAAGTTGTAGCAAGGCTTCGAGCAATATTATTTGAAGTGACCTCAGGGACTTGAATAGTAACCATACTTGTTTTGTCTCCTTTAGTGGGTACCTGAAATTACTCACCACTGTCCAAAAACCCCTTTCCTGCTTGTTGGGACCCAAATTGACCTCAGAGATGACCCCTCAACAATTGAGAAGCTTGCCAAGAACAAGCAGAAGCCCATAACTCCAGAGACTGCTGAAAAACTGGCCCGGGACCTGAAAGCTGTCAAATATGTGGAGTGTTCTGCACTCACACAGGTGAGAATTGTCCATGAAACCTCTCTTGTGGCTATGTTCGCTTCTCACTTTTCTTTCTCCCTCACAGCTATGGAATACAGCCTGTTCAAAAGGTAAGGAGAATACACTTTCTGCTGGTACAGATGCAAAATGGTTGAGTAGAAAGGAAGTTTCTGAGGAATTAGAAGTGGCATAAAGAGAATCCTAGCCTGGAGAGTAAGCGATATCTAGAAGGGAATGGGAAATGCGTGGTTGGAGAAGGCATCTCATGCCTGGCTTGTTCTTTGTTGGAGGAACTGCAGTGTAGTGTTAATCACTTTGAGTCCTTTTACATTTGGACAGCGTGTAGATTAGGTACAGGATGACTTTTATCATTTAGTAAAGCAGAGACTTATTGCCAAGGCAAGTTTTATTTAGGGATGCAAAATCCCATTTAACTGGCTAGCGGGTTAATCATATTGTTTAACCAAGAGGGGACAAGCGGAGGGGCCGCTCCATCCCAGTGGGGGTAAGGGGTAGGCCACTCCCACTGAATGACCCCTGCTCACTGTTAGGGAGGAGCGGCCCTCCCACCACAGGCAGGGGCTGCACTGCTTGGGCCCCAAGCAGCCCCTGTCGGTGGCAGGCCAGGTCATCCTGCAAGCAAGGACTGCTCCAGCATCCTGGTCCGAGCAGCCGCTGCCTGCAGGGTGCTTGGGCCTGCCGTGCACAGGCTGCCGGAATGCCAGAGCAACCCCTGCCTGCAGAGTGCTTGGGTCTGCTGTGGACAAAGGCTGCACTGGTGAGGATTGGTGAGCCATTAAGGGCGAGTCTTCTTGCTTGTGTTCCAGCTTTGTGTATGTGCAGAACTGTAGAAGGATCTGAGATAAGAAATACTAACTTTTCTCAGTTCCATGCATTGCCTTGCCCAATATCTAGAGTCTGCAGCCTTGTCTGTTACACATTTTGTAAATTCCACCTTACTGTCAGATTTATTGAAAGCTTTCAAGGGCAAAAGGGAACATTATGGTCATTTTGTCTGACCTCCTGTGTGACCCAAGTCATAGGACATCCCCAAAGTAGTTTATAGAGCAGATCTTCAAGGAAAACCACCTTTATTTTAAAAATGCAGCAATGAAGAATTTACCTTGACCTTTTGTAAGCTATTCCAAAGTTTAATTACCCTCACTAGAAAGAAAGATGATGCCTTCGTTGTTCAGCTTTCAGCCTTTGCTAGATCGAAAAGTCATCAGTTACCCTTTGTTTCCTGTGTGGGTATTTACAGGTTGTAATCAAGACCCCCCCTAACAAGCTGTCACAATTGGGCATATTTTTAACCCTTTCATCATTCTTGTGGCACTTTCCTGAACTCTCTCCAGTTTATCAACATCCTTGAATCGTGGTCACCAAGACTGGGCACTGTGTTGGAGCAGCAGTTGCACCAGAGCCAAATGCAGAGGTAAAATAACTTCTGTGCTCCTACTCAAGTTTCCCTTATTTATGTGTCCCAGGATTGCATTAGTTCTTGGCCACAATGTTATATTGGCAGTTTGAAGTTCAGCTGGTAGTGACTCAAATAGGCTGTGGTAAACAGTTTCCCAAGAAGATTTAAATCAAGGTTTTCTACTTGCTACTGGTTCTACAGCATGTGAACCAGGTTCTAGTGCATTCTTGCTGAGCTGTATGTCCCAGGAACTTTTTCTTAACCGTAGCAGTGAAATGTAGGCAACTCTCCTGAAATGACCTTGAGTTCTTTTACTTACATTTTGCAAGCTTTGAACAGATGCAGCATAAAGTCGTTGTTTTTAAATTATATGGCAGCACTAGAGTTGTTGGAGCAAGAACTCCTTTCTTACCAGATTCAGCTGTCATCAGTTCTGTTCAGTATGCTCCAGATATTGAAATAGTAGCGTTATACTCAGATTTGCAAGAGAAGACATTTCTGTATTTCCTGGGGTTCTGTTTCTTGTTTTCCATATGTTCTAGAAACAGTAGGTTAGTTTGTAAGACACTGACTTTCCGATCATCTGAGAGCTTTATTCCTCAGGGGTTCCCCTTTTTTTTAGAGAGCATCAAAATATGCATGAATAGCAATCTGGAGGTGAGAGCAAACAAGTCTTTACTTCAGAGACCCAAATGCATGCACAGTGGATCCATAGCGTTCTTGTTATTCAATATGAGGCTTCAGATTCATGCCCAGTAAGAAGCAGTGTTGCCTAATGCATAGAGTAGCAGCCTGGGGGATCTGAGTTCCTGGCTCTCATTGGCTTGCTGGGTGACTCTGGGCAAGTTGTTTTTCCCTTATAATGAAAATACAGAAAATGTGAATGGCCTCTTGTAAAGCACTTTGAGATCTATGGATGAGAAATGCTACATAAGATATGGTGGTATTGTGTTGACATTCCCATCAATAGATAGAAACCTTTCATGCCTCATTTCCATGGATTGCTGTTCTACTGACTGTCTGCTCCTTTAAAGTGAGTAGTTAGTGGTTTTTTCCAGAACTTTGAGAGAAAGGGGATGGGTAAATATCTCTAAATGAAGCTGCTCCCCTGTGCACTAATATCTTTTTCACCACAGTTAGTTGGTGGTTAGCAGGAGCAAACAAAGTGTTTTCTTAAGGTCTTTTGTATGACCAAATATGCTTTCTTGTTATGCACCTCTAAACTTGTCCAAGAATTCTTAATGGAAAAAATTGTAGGTCCATCACGTTTTTTCTTCTCTCTTCCCCATCTTTTAAATTCCCCATTATTTTTAATTTGCTACCATATCTTTACTTTTTTGTTCTGTTTTTTTCTTGATCAGCAACAGCCACTGAACAAAAACTTACCCATCGGCAGTCTGCAGAGGGAAGCTGAAGTTCCTGGTTAGCTTCCACCTGCTGGTCTGTTGTCTGTAAGCTAAATGCAGAGGGAACCTGACTTCACTTGGTTAGGATTAGTCTGTTCCTTTCCTTAAGGGAAACTCAGCAAATCTGGCATCAGGGACAAATGGATTAGAATTGCATAACCCTTGTTGGCTTCCCTTTGCAGTGGATTCTATATGTAAAGCGCTTCTCCACTGTTGGCAGTGTATCATGGCTAGTGACATTCAGCTAACTGGGAATCCTAGTGGAGTTGCTTCCATGTGGCTGACACAATGCTTGATGAATAGGATTTAGTCTTTTGAGGGGAAAAGTACATTTTTCAAGCTCCATTGTTTCCATCACGGTGGAGGGATAGCTCAGTGGTTTGAGCAGTGGCCTGCTAAAGCCAGGATTGTGAGTTCAATCCTGGAGGGGGCTGTTTAGGGATTTGAGGCAAAATCTGTCAGGGACAGTACTTGGTCCTGCTGCGAGGGCAGGGGATGAGGCTTGATGACCTCTCAGTATCCCTTCTAGCACAGGGATGGTCTAGACAGTATTTGGTCCTGCCATGGGGGCAGGGCACTGGACTCTCCCTTCCAGTTCTAGTATTCTGTGATCAGAGCAATAGTGAATTCCAGGCAGATAAGTTCTGGCACTTTGTGAAGATAAATATGCTTCTATCTGGTACGCACCTTGTGTTGCCTGGATGAGTCATCTGTATAGCACTGGAGATTCAGTAACAGAATGTGTCATACAGGAGGTCCATGGTCAATTCTCAACCGGTGCTTGGGTGTTTCTCCTGATTCGAGAGGAGGATAATCGTTTGGTTAAGACTGTTCCTAACTGGCATTAGACAGCTCTTGTTAATTCAGTGTCTCAGTCAATCTGTAAAAAGCGTGGAGGGGAGAAATGATTTTTGTCTTGGGTGACTGAATTTCTTCCCTATGCACAAATGGTCTCCGTGAAATGAATTTTACCTTTTGTTTCTCTGTTTCTTACCTTGTAAACATTTCTTTGAATTTCTGCAGGTCACACTCATGACAGTAGGGTTAAGCAAGTCCAATCAGTATAAACTGAGCAAGGTTTCTCTTCTGGTGCCCATGTGTAATTTCTTAGAATTGTATGGCAGTGAGAATATGTTGTAGAATTCCGGTTTCCGTAGAGCAAATGCGGTGGTTCTCAAACGGTGGGTCAGGATCCCAATTGAATGAGGTCACCAGGGCCAGCATTAGACTTGCTGGGGCTCAAGGCTGAACCTCAAGGAAGCCCCTTCTTGCAAGGCTTGGGTGCCATCCCAGTCATGTAGTAATTTTGTTGTCAGAAGGGGGCTGCAGTGTATTGAAGTTTGAGAACCGCTGAGCTAATGCATGCCTTGTGCTCAAGTGTAACCCTTGCTAACTTCTTAAAGCTTTTGACTGCTTTCTTGATGCTGGATCCTATAGTGTCAAAGCAGCATTCCAATTCTAACACTATTTTCCTGTCTCCCTGTAACTAGGGTTGCCAGATCCCCCCCCCCCCCCCCCCCCCCCCCCCCCCCCCAAAGGAAAGAAAACCGGGGAAAAAATTCTGTTTAGCAAAACAAACAAAAGCCTAGCCAAGCTTGCTGAGCAACCCAGCAAAAGTTGTTGAGGGACTGACGGGCTGAAATACAGTTGCGGCCCCTTTGATTTCCAGCCCGCTCCATCCTCTCCCACCTAACTCAAGCTACACCGCATGTCCCGGGAGCTGGAAAAAATACATGTCCGCTATTTTCTGATATATTTTTTTTTAAGCCAGGCAGAAGTCACAAATACCAGGCTGTTTGGGTTCAATACTGGACAGCTGGCAACCCTACTTGTAACTGGAGTGGTTATGATACTTACTTTAGAAACATGGCTGACTCTGAAATATGATTTCTGTAGTTGGCTCGGTCAGAATGATAGCACGGATAAGGCATTGCCTAGGTGTTAAATGCCTGAACCCTTACTTTGGAAGAGTGATTTACCAGACAGAAATCCTGCTTCCATCCCTGTGTGAACATGGCCAGCAGTCTGTGTTGGAACTCTTCATTTATTCAGGGGCTGAATTCACATAGCAATCCAGTAATTTGAAGGTACCACTTAGCAAAATCAAAACTCTGCATATCTAAAATGCTAATGTATCTAATATGGATAGGAAAGGTATGTACCTGACTGTCCAGCACAGCCACCTGGGATGAGCTGCTTTTGTATCGCTGCTTTTTTTCGTTTGCAAAAGTCATTGGAAATGTTCAATCTAATAGGTGGCAGCAAAAATTGTTAAGATTGTGGTATTCTCCCTAACGGTTTCATCCTTATGGGGTGTAGATGTTTCATCCAATTCTGGCTTTCTGTACATTTGCCTTGTTTGATCTTCTGATCACCTAAATAGTGACAATGATTTTCTCCAGGATCTACTTTGTAACACCAAAGTAAATCTGCTTGCTGCTTCTGTGAACTCAGCCACCTTACCCTGAATGCTCTTTTATCTGCTTGTTTTTCTCTAACCCTCTAACCTGGCTGCTGTTTTTTCTCCTCCCCTCTGTCTTGTAGAGAGGTCTGAAGAATGTGTTTGATGAGGCTATCCTAGCTGCCCTCGAGCCTCCGGAAACTCAGCCCAAAAGGAAGTGCTGTATATTCTAAACTGTTTTCTCCTTCCCCTCTTGCTGCTGCTTCTTCTGTCCCACTTCTGTAGAAACTTGGTTAAAATGAATAAAACCATCTTGACTGAAAGCTTCCGTGTCTCTGCTTAACATCTTAGAGCAACCTCTGTATTAGCTTTTGGACTGAAAACAATTATACAGTTCCTTAGTCAAACATTTGTAACTGTGGAACGTGAACCTGGACTCCCTTAACTCTCTGCTGCTTGGGTTGCCAGATGTGGATAGCTTTACAATTTAGGCTGTTGGGGAAAGGGCCTTGAGTGTGTCATTTAAAATAGAACAACAACAAATAACCCAGAAATCATGTTAAATCTTCCTGAGCATTAAATGGAAAAAATGCACACTTCATTTTCTATTTGAGTCTATTGTTAACTGTAGTTGCATGATAAAGATACATGAAAATGATCTGCAAGTAATGGTGTCATGTGAAGGATTTTCTGGTTCTCCTTTGTGCAGTGAGACTTTCTGTTGCTACTGCTTTGGCTGTCTGTGCTGTAGTGGAGTTTTGTCAGTCCTTGGGGAAGGAAATATCAATGTATCTGCTACTGCTTTACAAAGATGTTAAATTCTTGCTTTTACTAATACCAGTAGACCTCTTCATTTTAATAATTGATTCTTAAAGCTTGTTAATGTAACATGTAAAGTTTGCCTTTTAATTTCATGCTTCTGATTTTTGTCTTAAGGGGAAAAATTTCCATTGTAGTTACTTACATTTTGGAATTAAAAATTGTAGTTGTTTGTATAAATGACTGATGAAGCTTTATTTCTGTTTGCACTCACTGGCTTCAATTTCACATTTATACAATGTGTAATACCCATTTTGTAACTCTTCCATTTGAATTCTGTAATGGATGCACAGCTTCTGAATTCTACCTGGCTGCTGCTAAACATTTGGTGTGGGGAACAGAAGCTTGATTGAAATATACCAGATTGTGGTCCATCTTTGCATGCTTACCTCCTGTATAACTCAGGTGTCATTGCACCATGTTCTGGAATCATTACCACTTTGTTCCAGATCAGCTGATTCATCTGAATGCAGTAATTTTTGCTTTGTCATTAGCATGTGAAATTTGTGAACAGCAAACTAATCATAAAACGTCCATTGATTGAGGTGGTTATTTCTGTATTTGTTTTGTTTATGAAATACTACTCTGCAGAAAATTGTTTTCAAAGGACTACTGTACTATTCTGAATATCAGATACTCTGCTAAAGAACTCCTTAATGCAGCACCACAATTTGAACAAAGCCAAGTTTAAACAGAATTACTTTCTGGAAATTGTAGATCTCAATATTCTATTCACCATTATTGGGATTTAATTCTGTTTTGGTTTTATTTTTGGTTTTATAATAACCCAGAAAATGAGACCCCCCCTTTTCTCTCTCTGCCCCTTTTCAGAAAGGCCTAAAGAATGTATTTGACGAAGCGATATTGGCTGCCCTGGAGCCTCCGGAGCCGAAGAAGAGTCGCAGGTGTGTGCTGCTATGAACGTCCCTCCACAGCCCCTCTGCAAAGCTGATGTTTGATGTCATACTAAAAGCAATGTTTAAATCAAACTAAAGATACAAATTTTAAAATTTGTTTTTGCAATAATGACAAATGCCCTGCACACCCATCTCCCCCACACTCTCCCTGTATGAGTTGAGAATGTTAGTGTTCATTCCCAGTGCCCTTCCTAATTCAGTTAAAGACTAGTTAATTTTGAGTAATTATGTATTATCAGAAAATACTGATCAGTACTAGTTTTTTATTTTGTTTACTGTTTCTAATTTTCGTTTAAAATCCAGGCATGCTTGTGACGACTTTCTCTATAACAGACTAATTCTAGGCTATGTTAATGAAGTCTTGTCCCAAGTTGGCAAGAATCAGATTCATTGACTTTCTGGGGCTATATTCAGTCAGCCTGGGTGTGAGCATATTTCAGTCCTCAGAACTGAGTCGGAAACTAATATGTCCCAAGCTGGTGCTCCTGCTTTAAAAATTGCCTTGTTACCTCTCCCCCTCACTTTTCCTCTGAGCAGGTCAGAACTTCCTACCCTGTCCCTTAAGTTATGAAACCTTTGAATTGTTTCATAGGGAAGTGAATTGTTCCTTTATCTATGAATGCACCATCAACTTGTATTTTAAAAAAAATGGTCAGTTATAGGGGGGGAATGGGCCGTTTTCTCTCAAACGTGACATAAGAAGTTTTCATCAAATGTGAAGAGAGAACAGTGCCTTTTTTTAAGCACACCCAATTTATAGTGTTTTGTTTTTGGTTTTTTGTTTTGGTTTTTAACAAAACCCTCCAAATAAACTTACACTCAATCAGCGAATTGTTTGGCAGGCTTACAAAGTACCAATATGGTGTTGCTAGGACACTTCTAAAGAGCCTGGGATGTATTACGGTGATTTGGGGAAGTGGTGCTGGTGGAGTCCTTTTTTTAAGCACACCCAATTTATAGTGTTTTGTTTTTGGTTTTTTGTTTTGGTTTTTAACAAAACCCTCCAAATAAACTTACACTCAATCAGCGAATTGTTTGGCAGGCTTACAAAGTACCAATATGGTGTTGCTAGGACACTTCTAAAGAGCCTGGGATGTATTACGGTGATTTGGGGAAGTGGTGCTGGTGGAGTCACATCTTACAGAATAGTTCAGCATCCTTTGGGGGGGGGGGGGGGTGGGCGG